TTTGAACTTTTTCTTTGCTTTTTCTGCTTACTTCCTGAGGCGGGAAAGGAAATTGGTATTTTGAAATGATGTCCTACAGAGGAGAATTAATTTGAGCCCGATTAAGATGTTATGACTGTTCTCCACTTTACACACACTGAACGGGATACTGATCAAAAGTCACAGTAAGATAAATACTGATTCTGACTGGTTTTGGGAGGAAACAGTGGCTTATTCCTAAGTAATTGAGGCCAAAACAAATCCAGAGATGTACATGTACATGTACAGTATATTCAAGCACCTGTGTACTTTCACATGTTCATGGAAAGCAATTATTTACATCCATGTAGCACAATGATCTGTAAGAGCTAATGAAGCCCATGAAATTTAAATTCAATACGGGTGATTCCAAATAGTGCGTTGCCAAGAGTTTGCAACGCGTTGGATAATCACAATGTATGAAATCTGTTGACCCAATGCACGTTTGGTAAGGGTTGACAGATTTCACGCGCCGTGATTGGCCTACGCATTACAAACTCTTGGAGGTGCACCATTGTGATTCGCCTGTCTTTCAACCAATTACATACAGGTACATATATGGACAAATCTGTACACCTTGCAGTCTGAACCACCTTGACATGGGCACACATGTACATGTAAATAGCACACCACAGTAAAGTGTCCCATAGGCTGCATCCGAATCTGCATCTAAATCTGCTATCTAGAGCTAGGTCTACCGTACATGTAGGTCTTCGCTCCATTGGAAATTTGTGGAGACGCATAGACAATAGACCTAGCCGTAGCTCTGGAAGCCCGTTTCGGACACGGCCTCACACTAAGGCAAGTTTTAAATACTCATTTTGCCATCATTCTGACAGATCATATCAAAATCACTAAGGTCTGTCCCTTGTCTCCCGGAGACTGCATAACTAGGTCAAAATGGATAGGGCAAGGAGACACCAGGGACCATGGCTGTAATCATCAACACAGGTTTCAACCAGTGACCATGCAGAAAAGTCTAACCTCAGAGAGAGAGCAGAGAGATCTGTAAGCAGCTGGGGAGATAGGGACACAAAGCAGATGCCTGTCTGCTTGTCAGCGGGGAGAGGAAACCATCAAGGTAGAAAGTAACCTACATGTAGGCATTTCATGAAAGTGACAGGCCAGACATGGGGTCAGATTGGGCCAAATTACAACCAGTTGTTAGACAGTTAAAAAAAACCTGCTACTCACACCTGGGTGCATAACTCAGCACTACCGGTAGGCAACTGCACAAGTTACCTCAACTACAGAAATATGTACCTCTAAATTCTCACATCACTTTTATTATCTGTAATACACGTACATGTATACAATAGGTTGGCTCCAAATTTCCTTTGAGAATTAACAGCTTCACAAAGATCTCAACAAAATCTTCATTCCAATTCAAAACACTGAACTCTGTTTAATGTACATGTAAAACTGTATGGTTAATGATTATTCCCAGAACAATCTCCTATATCATACACCAAAATCTAATGTATCTTCGCAACATTTCACATCTCAGCTGACTGGTATAAACATGTATAAATGTACTCGTTTGCTAAAAAAACCCCCCAAAAAACCAAAATACCGTATTTACCTACATGCATGAATCAACGTGCTATGGGAACTGGGCATTACAAAAAGCCACATCAGTAATTTACATGTAAACTGTGAGTGACAAAGCTACTTTGGGGATGAGTCCCACTGGTACGCTCCACATGGTAAATTGCACTCAAGAGCGACTCGCAAAACACAATAATTAGTACAAGACAAGTCCTTATCCCGCCAGGTGCAATACACTCTAGTGTCCCATCAACCCGGGAGTGTTTTATTTATCACACTTGGCAGTCCAGGTCGCGTTTTACTAATTGCTTAACTCAAAGGGGAAGGGAGCCCTCCTTTGACCTCGTTTAAAATACCTCTTGCGATTTCAATGCCATGTGAGTTTCATCACATCGCACAGGACAGGAAACTCAGTCTGTGAGGTTCCTTTTTTTGTGGTGGGGTTAGAGGGGTGAGGTTTTTGCCACAGAATAATTGCCTACATGTACCTACCGGTAGTTTTGGGAACAGAGTCTCTAAATCATTCTGACAGCTTTTGACGTAAGTAATAATTGAAATTAAAGGAGCTGATATCAGTTTTCAGCATATATCTCAAACTGCTAGATTGAGAAAGACGACTTCTATACCTGCAGTTGTCATACGTGTATTTGGTGTGGAACTAAATTTAGAAATTAGAAGAGCAAACTGGGGAAATTTCAGAGTGGTTGTAAATGACAAGACAGGTGTTAGATGAGGATTAGGAATCTGTTGTCGAAGTGACAAAACTGAACTTCCTTTTCAAAGAAATATCCTTGGACTATACTTTTTTTTGGGGGGGGGAAACAACTTGACAAGTACGTTCCTTTCTTGATGGCAGAACTGTGTACACACGAACTGCAAGCAGTCTGAAAACACGCTTCAAACGTGTCGGTTCATGTACATTTACAGTGGGAAAATGTCAACAGTTTATCTCCTACGTGTTGTGTACAGTATAACTGATAGCCTACATTACATGTGTGCTTCATGGGAACTTCCCAAGTCAAAGTCTAAAATCCTGGTTATGTACACAGACCACACCCGTTCCACGCTATGGAATCTTTGTACATGGGTGACTTTAACACAGAGGGTCAATCTGTCAATGCCT